ATCAATATTTATAGTTAAACAAAAATAAGTTACAGAGATCTGATGAGTAATGGGATAAGAAATGTACACACACCTACGCGCTCATGTAAAAACAGTCAAAACTGATAAGCGAATAATTAACAAGGTCAGAATGTGACTCAAGTAGAATGAATATAATGGACTGTCCGTAAGCTAGAATAAGATATATGGGCTTGACATAATAACCAACACTACAAAATCCTGGAAGCATTGAACGACCGTTTCGTTCTATTGTAGGATTTCTCAGCATTGCTCATTTACGATCCCGACTTGTGTGATTCAAACCCAAGATCTATCGGTCTCGCGCGCGAACGGTTAACCTCTAGACCACTGATCCGGCCGAGATCCAACAGTGTTAATGTCTAACCTTAACTAATCCACGAAATTGAGCGACATATCTACCATTGCTTTCAGTGAGTTACTATCTCACAACTGACCCGATTGAACTCCACTGGTCACTGCTTCCAACTAGAACTCCAAGAAATACCTCTTAAAGCCAGTCACTAGTGAGTGACTCATGATCTCAACTATTGAAATTACTATAATATCCACAAAGCCCCATCTGATTTAATTATTAATGAACAAATTTGTCGTTTCCTATCTTGCCTTTGACAGTGTTCAGTATCAATTAAAATTTCTTATTAAAAGAGTGTGTTTTAGTTGTTTCATCAAAGTTCAATAAAATCTGAATAGCTTAGTAGAACAATCTTTGAATATAGTAATTGATGATGCAATTTAAAACTTCTTTATGATGTTAAATAATCTTAGCATTGTAAATTGACATTACTTTGATAGAAAGCTCAAAATTTAAGACAAATAATTCTACTATAAACGTACTAGGACGAAACGGCCGTCCGATGCTTCAAGGTTTTCCATGGTTGTCTAGCTTCAATTGACTCATGATTTCAACCAGTGAAATTTCTATAATATCCACAAAAACCCCTTCTGAAAATAATTGTCTTAATTGATTAGAGTATGAGTGGTCTGCAAATTGGTTTTCTACATCCCTCTATGAAGTTTATCATGTTTATGTCTGTGTTAATATTTTGTACAAAAATATACCATATAAGAAGTTTTGTTTAAATTTGATCGAAGAGTTTCACAGTATTTGGGTACCGAGTTGATGTGAGACATTAAAGAAGAAGAATGTATTTGTAAAATCTCAGATTTTTCAAGGATATGTTTTCTTGAAAAGACTTGGACCAGATTGTCAGGCGAAGAGTTGGATTTATTTGAAATTCGTTCACTAAGATTTTACAAATACATTCTTCCCCTTTAATGTTTCAAATATACCATATATTTTAAGTGAAAAAAACTTAGTATTTATGGTAATGATCCAGTATTTGATTTGAAATCATTTGGGGACTTGCGTCAACAGTTCTGTCTCTTGAACACCTACCACTATGGTATATCGTATCTATGTATATTTCATTCATCGAATAAAAAATTCATTCTTTGAACAAATGTAGATTCATTCTTCAAATTGTCAAGATCGTAATCCATGACATACTTACTGATGGCACAAACTCTATGGAGACTAATTTTATACAATGTGAATCAACATACAGTTAAAGGCAATTTTCATATCAGTCTTATTGTTTTTATCTGAACCTAGAAGGTTAAATAACGACAGAAAAATCGGTCTGTTTACAAGTGTAAAAACTGTATGATCTTTTTCATGTATTTGCATGTGAGAAAGTCCCGCTTTTCTCATTGAATATTAAGTTATCCTTTTCATGTATCCATTTTTGTATATCATGTTTACATTTTTGATATAAAGCAATGTTATCATGTTATCTGTGTTACTTCGACTTTGATATTTTCTCCATGGCAGATATTTTATTTTTCCAGACCTCTTATTTCGGTGTCAGATATATTAATTTGCTGTTCCTGACTGATCGTATTTGAGTTGATTAAGTTCATCTTTGTTTTACGGATAGAGGGCATATTTATCAGATAGAAACGTACTTTTCATTCAATAAAGCCCTAGGTCATGTTTCTTAACTATGTATCTGTTTATTATCTGTTGGTTTAATTGTACAACATATTTCTGTTAATTTCAAGCAAATTGGAAGTAAGACACTGAGAAATCTAACCTCATAGAAATAGAGGAATTCCAAGAAATCTATTTGTTGCAGAAACATTGATAAGTGACTTTTTTACAGAGTAAAATAAATAATATTGTGTAAAAACCAATGTATCTACAACTAATAAACAATGACACCAAATTTTATGTTTTGAGGCCCTTATCAATATCTTATGCTGAATTCATCAATCTGAATATCCGATCATAACTTTTTGCCACACAGCTGATATAATCTAGCTCCTTTAGACATTAACTAACGTAAACTAACCTCTTATTAGTCACTTGTTTGAATAGGTGTCGGCAATCAAGCTTTTATTATTATTATTGTTATTATTATTATTATATTCAACACTCAGCACAAACAGTCAGTATAGCGCACAATCTCTCTTAAACACTCATTGGCCTGTATACACAAATTATACCACGTACGAAATCATACGCTAAACGCAATCATCTTTAAGTTATTCGAGGATCCTCCATTATTTTTGTTATGGGTGGGATAACAGTACTCACACTAGCATTCCCTTGTTGCCGTCAGGTGAAAACCTACAGACCACCGACTCAAATCACACTTTATTCGAATAAATAAATTCATTGTCATTTGGAGTTAGAACTAGAAGGAGGATCGTAATCTTCAGTTGTTGTGTAAGTGCAGATTTACCGAACAAAACTCTACAGCTATCAAATTGTATTTTTAAATAATTTCAGCATAGAATTATCTTATATTACTTTTAATTGTCAAACAGCTGCAAACTTTGTGCTGTTGCAGTTGTAGGTGACATAACATTAGGAGTAGAAATATTGGATGTTTGAGACTACTTTACGGAAAACGTATTATGCTAGCGAATCAAACTCATAAAATCAAATAACGGAAGAAAATATGTTGTATATATTGAGTGGAGTACTTACCAGTACGCATATATTGCAAATAAATTATCCATAAACTTTACAAGAAAAAATAGCCCAGACTAATATTCAGGCAGTTACGTGGATATAACAATATAAACTGGGTAGAAATAGACATAATTTGGTCAATCTAAATACTGACAACTGCGACAAAACCTCGTGCCGAATAAAATAGAACACTGAGCAAGACGGGACCCATAATAACTCACAAACACGATGCAAATATCTCACATCCCGCTATTGGTGTGTAAGTTGATTATAGTCCATACGCATGCTTAGGTAGATTCATTTTCAATGTGAATGAAATGAAGTTAGTGTATATTCCTTTCAGATGTATCCCCGTCAGAAAACAGTTTTCAAATTTAATTAGTAATTGGGAATGCTGAAATATTTTAAAAAAAGGATAATTCTGTCCACCACTATAAGTTTCCCTTTTTTTATGTCCCAGAATGGCGACGTTACGAGGACATTTCAACAAGTTTCAGAAACCTAGAATAAGATACTTGTCTGTTGGCAGACGATCTTCCTAAAATGTCATCGACTTGTGGAACTCACCATTTTACAATTGGTTAGAGCTGGATCAGTCAGTATACTCAAAAGAAGGTTTGACTAACCGAGAGATTTTTATCTCCAGGTTTTACATTAGCCATTCAACCTCTTCGCCTACCCAGATTGAAATAAAACCATTAGATTTTCAGATTCGTGTAGCAGGGGCAGAAGGCCCACAGTCTATGCTATTATTTTTTAGTATGTTTCTACGATTTTTTAGTGGCCCGTGGATCTGGCTCAAAGGAGATCGTAATGATGATTGTTGTTGAATTATATGTGTCGTCTATTCTCGTATATTTTGATGGACTTAAATCGCGTTAATCAATAACGGAATTAAATAAGTCAAATAACGAGAATGGACTTTCGAATACATATATTTTGTATAAAAAGTGAATGGCAAGTAATCCAACTCCCATTTAGTCGAACGTTAACCAATATTTATAGTTACACAAAAATAAGTTACAGAGATGTGATGAGTAATAGGATAAGAAATGTACATACACCCATGCGCTCACATAAAAACAGTCCGAATTGATAAACGAATAAATAACAAGGCCAAAAAGTAACTCAGGTAGAATGAACATAATGGGCTGTCCGAAAGCTAGAATAAGGTATATGGGCTTGACATAATAACCGATACTACGATTGTCCAGTCTTCTCTTGGGTGAGCCAATTAGAGATGCGAACATCACTGCTTAGAGTTACAGATTCCAGGACTGACCTGCTATAGGACAGAGTAAAGGGGTCTAGCTTTTCAAGCCGCTATTTGTATGGTAAACATCAGAATTCTGGAATTGCATGGGTAGCTGCCCTCTGTACTTTATTCAGAATATAAGACTCACCTTTTAAACATGCGCTTGAGGCCTGAACGCAATTCTCAAGCTTAGTTCTCACTAAGGTTGTGTATACTGCAGTGAACATGTTTTTACTTGACTTGGGTTCTAAACCCTTTAGCTACGACCTCACGGTAGTGAGCCGTGGATTTAAGGGCATGATGCATTGTCACACCAAGATCTTTGCGAGACCAGACCACGGGTCCAGGCGCTACCCCTATGCTGTACCTATTTACTTTTTTTGCCAAAGGGCATGTAGACACACTTCGCCACGTTGATAGGCGTCATTCACTCTTTAGACCAGTTGATCAAAATATTTTTTACACTGTGTGAAGTGCGCAAGCATCTCCGCCTTTCTCGTCAGGTTTTTACATCGTTAGCCTACAATAACATTGGGGACTCTACTATACTTGGGAGATCATTTACATACAGTACGCAATTTAAAGAACCTAGGAGTTTGTATTTAAAGGTTTCTATGTCAAACTAGACGCTAAAACACTCATTTCAGAAGTCGACTTAAATTTAAACTCAACAACTTTCAATGTCCACTCTCTCCGATGTCATCACAACTTTCAATACATCTGTAACAAACGTTTTTGGAAGCGCTCATTATAGTTGCCGAAAATGACCTTCAACAGTCAAGGTCCGAGTGAAAGCGACTTAGGGAAAGATGCTAACGTTTTAATAATGGAGCTAAACAAAGGTTTTTATTACGTCTGAGTATTACATATATTCCTAGGTTTCCAGTCGACAAATCTTGGGATTCAATGCAAAACAATTGCACAGTTTCCTTCCGTTCTTGAAAAATATCCTTTCCCTGTTGTTATAAACTCTATACTATTAAAAATCACTCAGATATTCTGCGATGGGTAGGCGAATTTTTAAATACACTTACTCTCAGAAACAATTACCTTCGTCTCTGCATTTTGCGTGCATGTACTGAGTGTAGAACTCACTTCAAAAAGCTTACAGTCTGTGAGGATATCATCCGTAAATTGCTACCCTTTACGGAAAGTAATGACCCCACTGTTCGAGCTCTTACTTTACGGTAAGTTGGAATTAACCTTATGCAGGCTGTATAGTCTCTTTGGGATTTTAAATGAGATAACTCGCGACCATCTTGGGGTTCATCATGCCATATTGAAACAGATAGAGTCTCATTATGAAGTTGAGTCAGATGCTGCTGTTTGGGCCTGTCATACAGTTGCACCTATATCCAGGTACTTTCTACTATGTCGTTGTAATTTTTATTTTAGTGTCTTTGCCGCAAGTCTTTGTCCTATATTATGTAAAATACTAAATAACTTGTCGGTAGATATGGATACCAAACTTAAGTTATTGTATCTAGGAAAACATATGCATCATAATTCTGTTGTCGCAGAAGAGGTTTGTTCGGATTTACGGTTAATCGCTACCTCAGATACGTCACTGCTTGACAGCAATGCTTGAAACTTACAATACCACAGATTTCGTTACTGGGATTTTAGATACTCTTACAGTTTTAGAAACCCGTGCTCCTTTGCATGTCCATGTTCAGGTCAGTTTTTCATGGCCTAAAATATATAAACTGTCTCAGAATATCAAAACATATGTTCGTTACCATGAATTGTTATTTTTTTTGTTTTAGAAATCACTTTTATGATTGATCTTGTTCAGTGCTTACCAAGTTTGAAATGTGGGACATTACCAAAAAACATACATCACCTTTAGTCTGTAAAACTTTTGTCGACTTATAATCCCGCGTTTCTATTTTATCGAAATCGCTGTCTCGATTGTTCTTTCCACACTCATCAGAACGAAATAGTAAAGTTCACCAAAAGAAAATAGCATATTTAGCTGTGAGTTTGTGGTGTTTAGAGAGTAAAAGTCCGTATAACCTCACTCAAGCTGTGTTAACTTGTGAAGTTTCGTTGATATCATCTATTAATTTCCAAATCACCTTTGTTTCTACTAGGTTAAGAACAACAAATGTTGAATAAGAACTTTCGTTCAAATTTGAACGAATAGTTTCACAATATTTGGGCGTTGAGTTAATGTAAGACATTAAAGTGGAAGAATGTATTTTTAAAATCTCAGCGAAAGAATTTGAAGTAAATATCAATATTTTCCTTAAAAAAGCTTGGACCAGATTGCCAGGCGGAACGTTGAATTTATTTAAAATTCTTTCACTGAGATTTTACAGATACGTTCTTCCTCTCTAATGTCTCAACACAAATGTTAGTTAGTTAAAGTATTCACTTATTATTTCGATACCATAAGTCATCTGTGTTTTATTTACTTAGGGAGATCTGGTTAGAACTTTGAAAAAGATTTGTCAGTAGTCTCTCTCATTCTACTCTATGAATACCAATTAGTATTTCTTATGAAAGACTAAGCGAGTTTCAAATGATAAAAGATAGTAATGTAGTCTTATTTTCTGGTTTATTGAATGCTTCAGTAATTCACGCTTGTTGAAATAAAAACGTGTATTGGTTTATCTTAGTAGACTGCATCTAAAACTAATTGTAAACAGTAATTATGAATATTGACGTTGGTCGAAAAGACATAAGTAGTAGTTTATTATCAATGTGCATATAATTTACTGTTATGCGCCCTTGTAATAAGTAAGGCACTAAATGATAGTTTGACTGTAATGTTTAAGACGCTATCGCACGGTAACTCTGGGTAATCTAATCTATGAATTTTTAGATCTATGAGTTACTTGTTGCGTAACAGATGCTGTACAATAGAAATCTCATGCAGTTTTTGTGTCTAGTGGAGCATTAAACATATTTTCTGTAGGTTTTATATTCTGGAAAATCAATGACTCACTTCATCCATACCAGTCAAAACGAGCTTTGCACTTAACCCACTGATTAAAAGTTCTCTTTGATGTGCATCAAGGAAATTAGTATCATGATTCATTATCATTTTAAAGTTTCACCACTGTTGTGTTCATCTAGACTCAACAAAACTAGTGACTTTTGACAAGGGACTTTAATTTGAAATATGAGTAAAGTTAACTAAGTAGATTTTAAGAAGTATAAAAATTTCATGTCTACATGTTGCTTCATTCTAAAAGCCCTTTAAATTCAATTACTAAGTCTATATTGCTTAAAAAAGGTAATTTGGAACAACAAAATAGAAAGAATTATTTAGATGGTTATATTGTATTTATGTAACATTGAAATGTAGCAAAAGGCTTTAAACTTAGTCGTTTTGACTGTAGGGAAGGATTTTATGTTTGTTGTTTTTGATACAAAAAGGTTGCGGTGGTCGGTATTCAATATAATCCTTAACCTTCATATTACAGTTCGTCCTGATAACCATCAATAGATACCCCTCCAACGGTGTATTAATCAGAAGGTGAATAAGAAGTGTTGATTAAGTTTATTAATGCACCACTCACAGATAACCAAAATTACAGGTATGTTAAGCAAACATGAAAGAGTAGTGCCGAAAAACAAGCGATTAAGTGAATAGGATTATATATATATCAACTAAGCGACTAATAGTAAGGCTAGCAGGATAAATATATACATAGTCAGTAAGCAATGCTTCAGTATATATTCATACAAGTGCAGCAGTAATAAAGATACAATGGTATAGATAAGTCGTTATTGTACGAATGACTCCGTTAAATAAGTTAACAAAAGTGCTTAACAAAGTCAAATCTGAACAAACTCTATTGCACGTGAACTACTATAAGGCATATCTTAGTTAATGATCCAGCCGTATAGGCATGTGTTCAATAAATCTGATGTTCATTATGACTTAAATTATGTATAGCTCAGTAGTTTGGATCTTAAGATTTAACCACTAAGTAATCCATTTAAATTCCAAACCAGCTAGTATTTACGTCGATATTTTCTTATATCTCAGTAAACAAATCAGCAGGCTACTGATAATTTCCTTTTTTCGAAGCGTTGTAAAGAATTATTTAACTCATGGCAACATTTTAAAGTTTTACTGTTTTTATTCGAGGACCTATGGAAGTACAATATCCTAAGATCATTATCCTGATATACAATCCTCTAAAGTTATCACTGAAGAGGACTACTTCAATTTTCAAACCCCCTAAGGCTAGTTTTTCATATCTTTCTTGTCAAATTTATCTAGAATATTAAAATATTAACCCTTGAATTGATCTTCAGATACTTTTTAAATCCATAGATCAACCTTCTTATCAAACGATTATCTATAGAGCAAAGACCTCAACTTCGTCAAAGTGTCCTTTGGAATCTCTTAACCCTAGCTGAAAATGTGTCACATCACTTCGAGAAATCCCATATCCTTGTGAGTTCTGATGTAACTTGTGGCAGAATTTTTTTTAAATAATTAACTTATAATTGCTAACATCTGCAGCGATTTTCACTATCGAGCAAAAAAAATTAACCGAGTACGATGCCTGATAAAATGTTTAATTCTGCATATTTACACTTTCTTCAGCACAGGGGAAGTTGCTGGCAAAATTCCTAAATATACATTTTGGAATTTTAAATTTTCTGACAAGTTTACTGATGTTGCTATCCATCTCATGGTAAGGAGTAGTCGTTTTCTCGTGTTACACCTCAGCACATAGATGACACTTATTCGTCTTTTCTTTTTATAGAGACTGATTAAATACGTAGGCTCCATTGTCTTACAAAATTATTTTATTGATCACCAATCCGTTTACTACATTAAATGATAGAATGTTATGCTTTTTAATTGAAATCCAAACCCTTATTCCACCACACTACATCAAAATCAATTTTCACTTTTGAATGTAATGTAAATTGCTGTTGTCTTCTTTATAATTAGCAGAGTAGTAAGACATGTTTCAAAATCGATGATAGTGGGGCAGATACATTCATTCTTTGTGTCCCATAAAATCTATAGCATGTTTTTAATCGGTGGATTTCGTTCGTTCTTCTCAGGTTTTCTTCCTTGATTTTTAATTACTCAAGTACTATTGGTCTTATTTTATTACTATAGTTTATTTTCCTTCTCACTTTGTTCGCTTCATCCAATTGGGCTATGTTCGACAATTTTTTACGACTACATGGTTACCTTCGATTTAATTGTCACTCATAACGAGTACTAATCTACGTGTGGTTTCTGTTTCTTAAAACAATTATCTCGATTAAGTGTAAATTCTTAAGAGTATGCTAATTTTGCTTCACATCTGACTGACCAACTTTATTTCTTTTTATTTTAGTGACATTATGGCTTAAAACACGTTAGGGATTTGATCACTGTAACATAAATTGATGAAACATTTAATCAACTCCTAAAAATGAATAACCACAAAGAATCTGCACTAAATTTTCATTGATTATCCTTGTTTCAGGTTATCATTACTTGATAGATATAATATACAGTTAATTAACACTACTATCCCCTGTTAACTTTATTGACACTTTTGTTTTGATGGATACTATGGACTGTGTGATTAGATTCAGGATGTCCCCATGTTAGAAAGCTTATAGGTATTGAAGATTTTATCTGTAAGTTGATAAATACTTTTATGAACTTCAGATTTCTGAATCATTTACGATTGATTAGTTAAAAGACAAATCTTATTATTATTGAAATTGGTGGAAGAACTATTAAAAACTTGGGGAGCAACTGATTCTTCTATCTTTGTAGTTTTTTTTCTCAGAAAAGAGCCTACAACCCAAGTCGCACGTAGTCGATAAATTTACTTTAGTTCAGTGTTTACGTTTGAACCTAGTAGTTTTCCTTTTGCAAAACTTAGTCGACTTGCATACAATACAATACGTCAATGACCATTATTCCATATAGTGCTAGCTTAAAACTATCTACCTTCTGAATAATTTCTTTACAATTTTGGTGTTATTACTGTCTAATTCTTCTTCCAGGAGTTGAGTTCCCTTTACCATGGCGAAAACTGTAGCAAAATGGATAAAGCGTTAGTTTTACAAATCTTTTATTGCCTTACTACATCATTTCATTCTGTTGAATTTCTCACATTACCATCTGGAAAAGAATCTAATTCACTCTCACGTAAGATCAGTTTTTCTGCCATTTTTTGTGTTATGTTGCTTCTTTGATGTATTTTTTTATGTATATCAAAATGATTTGGGTGAACTCGATCTTTTTTTTCAATGTTTCATTTGAATAACAATCACTAGTTTTTCTCAAATCGACTCAAACTAGATGTTATTATTGCTATTATAACTAGTTGTCCTACTTACTATCAATAAGTAGTGTGATAATGTGGTTAGTTTTTTGTAACTAATTCAGATATATTTCTCATTGTAAAATAAAAAATAAAATTGTAACAATCTTCAACGAGCTTAATATATCCTCTCATGTCGACTAAAATTACATAAAAGTTGAAATGAGTATGTGGTCAAAAATTTTTACGTTTGTGTGAAGTTATGCGTTTCAGAAGGATCGAAATATTCAACGATAAACAATAAATTTAGAGTATGACTTTTCTTCTCAGATTATTCAAGTAAGAGTATAAGCAGTAATCGGAAAGATTAGGGTTTGAACATGTTATTTAAAGAGTATAATCCAATGAAGTAAATTTGGGAAGAGAAAAAAAGAGACAAGGAAGAATCAGAAGATTATAATTCGGGAGAACACAAAGAGTGTATACACCTTCGCCATTCCAAACGATTTTGAGCCATGTCATTCAGGGTCTCTAACCATCGGTTGCTATCATCTCGCGGTCCCCAACCAGGTAGTCTACACCTACCAGCATGAATCAGTCCACTTGTCAGTGACTTCATGGATTTGTGCCATGTTTTGGTCTGGTCGACCCTAGTTTTCTTCCAATATACTCCTATACCATTGAACATCGCACGTCGGGGCAGTCGGTGGTTGGTCATACGTAACACGTATTCCAGCCATCTCAACTGATGAAGTTTCACTATGTCATCAATTGATTTGCTATCCTTACCTAGTAGCCTTTTCCTAACAACTGAATTACTTACTCGATGGTCCCATGATATACGAGCAATGCTTCGCAGGCACTTATGATGGAATACTAGTAACCTACGAATATCCTCTACTCTTACCGGCCATGTTTCACTGCCATAAAGTAGGACGGAACGAACTGCTGCGCAGTAAACCCGTCCTTTGGTTGGTAGACGGATATCTCACCTACGCCATAAATGGCGCAAGTTAGCAAACGCTAGTGGAGCCTTCTGTATCCGTGCTGAGATTTCGTCACACACCAGACCACAAGGGCTGATGTGACTTCCAAGATAAGTGAGGCGGTCGACACACTCAACTACTTCACTCCCTATAATTACTTCGGGTGTCGACTCAACCCAATCGTGAAGCAACATTGCAAAACGGAATAAAAATTGTTTACGTTGTATGTTAATTATTTTGAATGCTTTTGAGACATAAACTTTGTGTCCAGTGTCCATTAAATGTAATCACACTTAAAATATAATGATTTCATTTTATCCTGGATATATTGTTTTCACTTTATTTAAATTTATCGAGGGATCAAGATTTTTGAAATCAGCTATAGATGTTCATCATAATATTATATATATTATGTATATGAAATTATATTTGATATCAACCACTTAATTTCAGATTATACTCCTGTTGATTGTATCAAAAGTGCACTAAAAGATTCATCATCAGCTTATCTTCTGGTTCATGCAATTCAATTAGCTTGTAAACTGACGATATTAAAAGGTGAAAGTGATCAATTAAAATACACTGATGACGAAAATTGTGAAATTTGTATAGATGATGATAATATTGAATTTGAGTTTAAACCAGGACAATTAATTCAACTCCTTTTCCATCATTTTAATAGTCCTATTAACGAAAAAGCAGAAGGAACCATAAACAAACAAAAAGCACTATGGTATCTGTACGATAGTCAAATTCCAGTCGACGATTTAAAGGTAAATTGGATTTATTTCAATTCTCTTAGTTTATAGTGTATATACACATACTAGCTTAAGATTTACTGGTTCCACTCAATTTTAGATCTAGGATTTTGTTCTACTACACCAATCGCTGACACCGTACCAATGATTGATAAAGCCAGTTGCCTACTGGTTAAATGTAATCAGCTTTCAAAAAAGGTGGTTGTAAGTTCTTACACTACTCTTCCTATTTCGATTTAAGCAGTTAGTTATAAGTATTACTGGCCCACTCATTCATTAAGACAACAAAATGCTTTATTCATTAAGGCTTTCATAGTATAAACCTTATCTTTAATAATTTGTTTTTTCCATTTCTCACAGTTCTACTGAAATAGAATGCATTACATTAAACAAAATAAAAACAGTTCGGTGAATAAAATGTTTCTTTTCAACCTTATCATGTAATCAAAAGTATTTTCAATTATCGAATATAAGTTACGTAGTAATTGAAAGGTAATAGTAGACAGATAAAATGTAAATAACATTTTAATAAGGGTTATGCAAACTAATCATCCACTTAATGAATATAAAGAATATTAAAAAGAGATAAACATATGTTAAACCAACTTAGAAAATCGGAAGAGGGTTGAGACTGTGGTAGCATAAAAAACTATACCTGTTGCTTCTAACCACAGAAACCAGGAGTGAATTGATGGTTTGACAATACCTCAGATGTTCACATGTTTCTTATTCAGTTTCTTTTGGAGCCAATGTGTTTGAACTTATTGGTAATTTTGAATGAAAATTCTCATTGAAATAGATAGTTAAAATTCAGCAAATGTTCAACAATAGAACTATGAAATAGTTTTTAATTCACCTTTCAATAACCCTATTGATTAATGTTCAGATATGTATCTGGAAAAAGCTCACTTTATTCGGCCATTACAACATGCTTCAAATGAATTTATTTTTATAGTATTTTCTATACTTAACCTAAGTCTATAAGGCATGCTGTTACGAGTTAAGATAAGGATTATGAAGAAAAATGTCTATATGTACTCTCTAATAAATTAGTTTCAGTGAATAATATTGCATTGTGTATTTAATAAGCATGAGACTATAATTTTTGGATAAACCAATCAGATTTAAGATAACAAGTCTTGGATTTTGTTGTGAAGTTCATTCATCCATGTGGCTAAATAGCATTATGACTGATGTTAATTCGAGATGATGAAAACCCCAGCTCTAATTCCTTATCCTAACTTCTAACTCGAAATCCCCATTCTGATTCTTCAAAACATTTCATAACCCTCTTTAGACGAATAGGTAGGTGAATTTTCTCAAGGTCATTTCAACATCTCTCAAACGTCATCTATGTATTATTGTCCCATCCTGAGTTATTCCGGAATCGCGAAATTTACACAGTTTAACTGTATTACTTATAAGTAACTATTATTTTACTTTACAAATTACTTTGCTGGATTTTTTAAATCTAATAAGCGTACGTTCGATTTTATTAAACTTATGATCCTTTTTTTCGTTGTACCTGATTTTGATTATTGGTTGCTAGTCCCATTAATACAAATGTAACTGTGTAAATTTAAAATATAATATTTATGTATTTTTAAAAATCAATTACTATACTGTTTCTTAACATTCCTTGGTCTCTGGACTTCGCAAATCTGGACGAATAATAAGATGGGAACAAGATAATATATTCCGAAGGACTGGAGCGATTAATGGTACTGTAGTGTAGACAATGAGAAACTCTTAGTATCTTTTCGATTCGTTTACTAGCTCTGACTGGTTGAGAATGAACTAATCAGAATGTTTAAATCTAACCTTTCACTATGCTCTCAGTCATTAAGATTTAAATCCCGGAGATACATTACTTTTTAGATTGTATCTGTTGTACAATCATCACAGTGTGTTCATTTGTCTGCTGATATTATTATCACCTCAATTTATTTTCTTTTTCAAATCTTCAATTCGTTATTTCAATGTTATGAGTTTAGCTGATATAAATGTATGCCAAATCTTATGTTATCAATGTTTCACTAAAATCTCTTGTGATGTATGCTATACGCCAAACATATATTATTTTTGTTAACGGACCTTAACATTTCATTATTTCAGGCAAATGGTTTTTTTCAATATAACTAAATATCTAATGAAACTTGTAACTTATTAATCTCCATGGTGTATTTACATCTCAGCTGATTGTTTTATAATTGCCACTCACTCATATGTCATTTTCTTTAAGTTAAATAGTAGACAGCAGGTGAGTTCAGAACATGTATTTCATCATTGAGTTCAAGTCCCAATGTGAATATCAATACTGCGATGCAAACACATTTATCTGACGAGTCATGGATAGGAAGAAATGCACATCCTGGATCCCATTGTTAGCCATTATCCAACTTTAATAAATATTTAATTAATTTTATGGTTTCTAATGAAGTTTTGTACATATCACTGCCTTTTTTGTATATCCATCAAGAATTAGACCATCAAATTTGTATGCACTTGTTCATTTGTTGCCGTCAACAAAATTACTTTTAAGTAATGGTTTAGTCTAATGTAATGTGTTTTCATTTCTTATCTTTTTCAGCGTATTTATAACCTACTTGTCGAATTCTTCAGTACCTTTCCATCTTATGCATCTCAATTGCATAAAATGAACTTTCTTGAAGGTATAAAACTTGGTAAGTTATTCATCAATTTATATATTTGTAGACATTCTTCTTGTATATACTCAAATATTCATTTAATAAATTCTTTGAGTAGTACTAATTACATTCTCACTAAGCTTTTAAATGATCTTAAAAGGTTGGGATAAAATGTTACCAAACTGTTTACTTTAACTTATAAGAAAGTAAGTTATGTGATAACTATATTCATTAATTCATAACAGATTTAATGATGTGACTCTCAAAATCAATTATCAAGGTTTATAGGTTAATAAACACCGACTATGGAAACTCTTGTGTAAATCCCATTAAATTAAATGTACGATTATGGTATGTTTTAGTTCCCAACAATGACAGCTGATTTTTACCGTCCATCATAATCACATTTCGTTACTATCAAACTTTTTGTTGTTGTTAGGAAATGGTAAAATTAGAAGTTAATATTTTAGTGTTCCTTGATAAGTTAGAAATAATTTTACTCCAAGATTCTGATTCATACTGCCATAGAATTCGAATAATCTTACTGAACTGTATTCCCTTCCTCCGTCACCCATTTTCCCATTTTAATTGTAGGTTAATTAATCATGTTTATTTACGGTAACTAGAGTTACATTTAGTAATTGTTATCTAATATTCCTATGACATAAAATCTTCTAAGGAAAATAATCGCCTTTTTATTTAAACACATAAACCTTGGTACAAGAATGAGCCAAAGATGTATGCGTCACGCTTCGTTACCCGATTTGTGTGAAGGCTGAAATACTACCTGGGAGCCCAAACCTAAGCGGGTGGTTTTTTTAGGGGACCACTCCCGAGCCCTTGACCTGGAGGTCTAATCTATAAGGCAGTGGAGCAACGTTAGGAGATGCAGTTCCATGGTAGCCGATGACCAACAATAGGTCCATATGCTATTTTTCCCCTCAGGATCTCATGTGTACCATTGGCTTAGGTTCTGAATTTACAACTCCTCTAGGTGGATCTTGTATATGTAAATAACATGTTTCTAGTTACAACCTCGTTTTCTAATCATTTCGATTTTAGTCAATCAAGAGTATTATTGTCGTCAATTGTCAAACAACCTATAAGTCTCTTAGTTGTTTACAGAAACTTGTCTAGTCGAACCGGTCAATTCAAACCTTCATACCAATAACTGGAAGATATAAAACTTTCGTAATTTATAGCAAATTATACAATCCCATTATAAATATAACTTTTATAATTCTATTCTAGATGGAGCAATTTCTACTGGTTTATTATGTCAATTCTTGTGTACAATGCATGCTAAACTGTCACAATTCCTATTTCTTAATCCTTCAATAACAACAGTTGATAGCGACATGAAATCTATTCAACTTAATTATTCAAATGTTTTGTCAAAACTGACTAATTCTATTCATGAGAATGGTTTATCATCATCTACTTCTACACAGGATTGTGTAACTTCTGTACTTGCCACTGTTGGTTTAGTATTTCAATTAACTGGTGGTTCACCGTTAACACAGAGAGAACAAACAATATTAATGCATTCTGTAGCAAAATGTTTAGGTGAAAAGATCAGTACTAGCAGTAGTAATACTAGTACTGGTAGTATTGGGTCATCAGGTTATCGTTTATCACCATGGATTGTTTATCAGTTAGCAAGACAGGGTAATCGATATGGTCAGCATGAATTTGCCGGTAAACTTTACGAAAAATTATCCTCTTTGGTAAATCCATTCGTTGTTTACATTATTATTATTATTATTACCGATATTTTTAAGATAGTGATAATATATGTTTAAGTGTTGTTGTGGATGCGGAAGAATAGACCAATAATTATCATGTTAAGTCCAATGGTGTCCTTGGACTTTAAATGGACATCTCCTATTGGTCGATATCTGTTCACTTGTTGAATATTGTACAAAATGTTGTTTTCTATTTTTATGGTACGATGTGGTATGTTTGGTTAGTATATAAATAGAGTATGTCTGAAATACAATGATTCATATCTCAGAGGCTGTGACTTTCGTTCTGGACTCAAATGGCTGGGATAGACAGGGAAGCAAGCCAATCGGAATACTAGGTCGTTCGTACGTGTTTACGCGTCACTGTAACCGAATCGATCAATAAGTACGCTGCTCCATCTAACCTGCAGTCACACCCACACGTTACAACAAGTGTAACTAAGTTTTCTATTGTTATTACGTTTTACTTTCATCCGATTCTGAAGTCAAACCAACTACTCGTTTACCATAAACAATTCATGATTGATGTAAAACATTGTTGGATGCAAAGAAAATTTTAATTTGATTAATTTCGTATAAAAATAAACGAAAATCAGGTGAATAAATTTCACTTGCATAAGTTTATATTTTTCTGTTGTGTTGATGTTAAATAAGAATACAAACCATTACATGTAAATTAAAATTCATACCCATTCCACAAGCTAATTTCTATATATTCAGTGTTAAGCGCGTTGGGTGCTTAAGGCTAAAGGTATTGTGCTCGAGTATCAGTGTAAACATTACCATTAGGATCCAGCTGACGAATCCCAAATGGGACGAAATGCGCATTTTCAATCTCACTATTAACCATTATCCATTATAAGGTGAATAACGTTCTTGATCTTTGTGCACGCCTATAATAATCGAACAGAGCTAAAAGAGATGAAGTAGCAAGAAAACAGAATGAATTAAAATTTCGACATAAAGGGTTATGAATGTGAATGGGGCAATTATACTTTGTCACAACCATCAATCATTTTATGCGGGTTATGTGAGTGAATCACACGACTCAGTAATAATAGGTAGCATAGCTTGCACAAAAAACAAAAAATACTATGGAGCAGGAAAGATTTACCAAGGTTGGGGAGAGTCCGCTCTCCCTCTCGAAATGCTCTCACATAGCCACGCGTATACAGCCACTACCAGAAGATTCCTACTCACTGCTTTCTCATGATGGGGGGGTGTTGTTTACGAAATTGAGAGGACGAAAAGCGAACGTTCGGTGCCTTAACCAGGTTGATGGATAAGGAGGATCCACCTAGGAGAGTTGGAAATTCTGACTCCAAATCAGTGGTACACATAGCGTAATGTTAGTCATCGATTATCATGGAATTGTATCTCCTAACGTTGCTCCACTGCCTTATGGATTATACCTCTAGGTTAAAGGCTAGGGTGCGGTCCCCTAAGAAAACCATCTGCTTCGGTTTGGGTTCCCGAGTAGTATTTCGACCCTCATTCGAATCGAATGATTTGTGACGCATATATATTTGGCTCCTTCTTGTACCAATATGTGTTTGAATAAACATCAACTAAAAATCAATCCAAAAATGAAAACCCGAATATTCTTTAATCTCGTCACTATACGAAAAAACAACTCATTCTATTCTTTGTTTTTGATTTCTCTGTCATTTGCAAATTCAAATACGTAATTCTCAATTGCTGAGTTGCTCTTCTTAAACATCAATCAATTGTGTAATAACAGTAATCATAAGGAATTCACGATTGACATAGTTTTACTATCACATGGATGAAACAATTAACCATCGATAACAGTGGATCCCTTTACCTATTACCACAAATTGATCAAAAGTTGGTAGTATTAAATATTTGAATCAGTGATCTAAATGTAACGTGCTCTCAACGAAACGTGAAGACTTTTTGTTTCAATATTCGTCTGCGTTTTGGTTGCGCATTTCTGAGTATTTCTAAAACGGAATTACTTAGCTATCCAGTACTTCTCAATCTATACCAATACATAATAATAAACAAACTCAACTATAAAATATGAGTTTGATGGCTTCATAGTTGTATAAACGTGTAAATAGGTCAATCACTGACTAAATCTTTTCCTATTTTAAATGGGTTTTTTGTGGAGTTTGCATATATTTTATTCCTCTTGAATTTTTTTCATATAGGCTATAACAGAAAAATCATACTTTTGGTTAACTGCTCTAGCAGAATTCAGTCAAATGGAATTCAAATTGATCAATTTAACTAGAAACTTGGAAACAGATGTACAACAAACAATGTCAACATCCAATATACCGATTGATCAATCAACACAACCTACAGTATTCACAAAAAAGTCCTGGATTGCTAAATTAATTCTAGGCTTAAGAACTGCATCAGAAGAATCTTGTAAATTACAAACTACCATCATGGTATGAATTTTGGTTGTGTTTTTTTACTGTAAATTGCTCACTTTTCAAATAAAAAAACCCTTTACACGCGTATCATTTGATCGACTAACTAGTTATTGCGAATTTAACAGTAATTGTTAAGAAATAATAATGATTAATTTACAGAGATGGATGTCAGCTAGCAATGGAATCTAGGACGTGCGTTTCGTACTATTTGAGACTCGTCAAGTGGATGTACTATCAACATACTGAACCATTCCAATGTTAAACATTAATGAGAAGATCCAAACAACCAATACAAGTGAGATAACGATTGTTACTCGCAAATAACTTTGGACAATTATCATTCTAAGTAATTTGCCAGTAAATTCCAAACTTCTATACACATTTATTAATTCTTAATTTAATTTATCGAAAACGTAAATTATCAATATTTTAAAAGTATTTTCCAAAAGATTCTACAACTTCAAAATTCCTGGTGACAGTATAAAGAGCTTTTGGCTTCTGACTTGCTTATTCGATCCACTCTAATGGTATTCATGCACCTAGTATTGATATTGGTTTCTTAGAGCTGGATTGGATTTTTTTTAATCTTTAAGTTTTTACTGTCATTCTGTACAGCAACAACGAATAACTCAAGTAAAAGTTGTTTAAAATAACAATGAAAATTCCTAGATAACACTACATGATATAAACTAGTGAATTATTGGAAAGTACTTTGCCAACTCATATCTATGCAATGTTTTACGTTGGTTGCTTACTTAATGATGATTCTTATGTTTTTTGTCGCCTATTTCTTAACATTTTTAGTGTGTTGGAGGCAGTGATGGACGTTGGTTTCAAGCAAAGTATATTCAAATAAGAAGTTTATTGCTAATTAATTTATCAAATCTCTGTTCTACCGCATATCATGCATTAAGAATTAAACGATGGTCTGGTTCAATTTTTATGAATCCATCATGTCAAAATGATTCATCTCAGTTCCAAACTGCTCAATCTATTTCGACTAATAATAATAATGATGATAGTAATAACATAAATATGAATGCATCATCAAATTTAGTCTGGGTAGGCTGTTTATCATTCATTTTTACACTGTTGGGTTGATCTTACCGGCTTGTTAGTTCAGTTGTGTTTCTTCATGTATACAAATATTATGACATTAAATATTATTTTTCAATAATGGTGTTGTGACTAGTAGAGTTTAGAAATATCGGTGGGGTAAATAGTTGCTACTAGTGACATTAGATGATCTTCACACTATATCCCAAGGTGATTGAATTTCGAATTGCACTGCACTGTGATCTTCATTTATTATCTATCAATAATCTGGACATGAGAGTAACACTAAACCTCTTTCTATAAAGTTAAAAGAACTATAACTGACTTATAGCAGAAAGAGGGGTTAGATATTTATGAATTACTTCACTTGACATTGTTTTTACTTGAATCTTCCCATTGATGTTTTAGGACTGAAATTGATCAGTCTCTTATAGGCATATGTGCATACTGTACGTATGCCTCGATATTGCCTTAATTTACAAGCATTATAAGCAACGGTACTGAGTTCGAGTGCCAGAGTGAACATCAACTCTGAGATGCAGGTACATCCAGCTGACGAGTCCCAAACAGGACGAAACGCGCGTCCTGGATTACACTGCTAGCCACTATCCATCTTTGCTTATAATTTACGAATTACCTTCAGAAGTACTTATGTCCTAGGTTCCAATAAATATCCTAACAAAAACCGGAAACGTCACCTGACAAATTATATTTTAATATAGTTTCTCCTTGTGTTTTTTTTTCACTTGTACAGCTTTCAAGTTGTGTTGAATCGTGGAATAATTTATCACAAGAAATTTCCAATCTTCGTGTACAATGTTTGGATGCTGATCTTCAAACACATAGACATCTAGAAGCGTATCCTTTACATAATTATCAGTAATTTTCCCTGTAACATATCCGTAGGTTACATATTTTTTTTAACTTTGAACAACAGAACTCACATAGCAAATTTCATCTTATTTGGTACTTGACCGACTTTCTTAAATGGACTCATTATGTCAACTGTGATAATAAGCGTTCACAATAAGTTTACTAATACTGATGAGTAATCTCTGTCTCTTACATAATATTTCTTTACTACTAACATTTGTCAAGTGGAGTAATAGTTTAAGTTTTTAAATCACTCAAATTTCAACCATTAAATTGAAGCTTCGAATTCTCCTTTAATTTGTTTTTGGTTTAGACCAAGTGATTAGTATCAGTCTTCAGTAATAAGGATAGTAGGTTGATGAACCTGTGTTAATCCTGACACATTGCTTTCCAGTGAAGGTCCAGCTTTTCCTTGAAAGTATTCACTGATGGGGCTGATACCACTTGTTCGGGTAAGGCGTTCCAATCATTGACTACTCGATGAGAAAAACGGGATCCCACTTTAAGTTTATTAGATCGTGGTTTATGAACCTTCTTGTTATGACCTCGGAGATTATTAGTGCTGGAGGGAGCAAAAAGATAAGACATATTAACACCCAAATCATAATTAAAGATACGAAATGCCAGTATAAGGTCACCTCGTGTCCTACGATACGACACTAAAAACATGTATGTCAAAATACATAAATCTGTATTTGTTTAGTGGACTACATTATTCCTTTTTATTTATGATGCAATTCTTATTTTTTTTCGTTATTCTGTACTATGATATGCCTTTAAAGTGAATTTCTCACTCCTAGATGAACACTCCTTTGATCAGTATGAAATCTTACTTTACCCTTATCTCGTTGACTATTAAACCAATTATTCTGATAGATAGTTTTGTTCACGGATGATATCCTATTTTGTGATAAATCCTCAATGATGTAATTAAAAGTCATGACTAGTCGAATTCAACTACGTTGATAGTTTGATGAGGGAAAATCGGTTTCTGTAATGCAAATCCATTCAGTGTTTGTTTTCCCTTAGATCTCGAGTTTTAAAATTATGTCATATTTTTTATTCTACAAATTCATTCTTTCTTCACAAATCATATCATCTATCTTTAATATTTGCTACTACCACTGATACCTCTATTAATCCTACTAGCCAAACATTTATTTTAGCAATTGTATCTTTCCGTGCTGATATGGTATGGTGACTTGAATCAGTGAGCACATTTGCCGGGTCCTACATTTCGCATAACTGACTGCTTAATGTCAGTGATGAGATTAGATATTATTAATTACGCTACCTGATCATCTTGCTATATATCACAAAAAGTTGACTGAAGTTGAAAATATGAATTTTCACTTGACATAGTTTTCTGTAACATGCATTCTTGGAGACTTGATGTCCTTTTTTTCTTCGATAGTTTGGTCCACACTACTATGAAATTACAAACTAAAATATCTGTCTAGTACCATATATTTTTTTCCAGTGGTTCAATGGATAAATGTCTAGAATTTGTAGATTTGAACATGGTGGAATGCTCATTTTTTCCTCGTTCATAGTTTCTTTTTAGCTTAGTTCCTTAAAGCACTGTTATGATAGAATAACACAGTTGGTTGAATTTTTTAATGAACTTCTTAGCTTAATTGATGGATCTAGTTATTCATTAAAGTGAGTTTTTATTGTTTTCGTCAGTGTTGTGTTTTTTTTTCAATTATTTATAGAGGCACACAGTTTGTCTAAACAAGTTCATGAAAAAACTGATTCTTTTTAGATATTGATTTAATGAATTGATAATTTCATTCCAGTTCAGAATGAACGCTATTTATCTTATGCGTAAGTAAGTTTTCTCATGAATTGACTTTAGCAGAAGATCTACTAAAATCCAAAGGATCATCATCGTAGTTTGATACTCTTTAGCAGCAGTTCACATCCACAACCTACATGGGATTGAATTGATGCTTTTTGAATGATCAAAGCCGGGTTCCGATGGTTGCTACTGTTCAATTTCTATCATTTAGTGATCTTTATTAGTTGATATTAGGTTTCTCATCCTTAAGGCAAAACTTGAAGAATTAGATCAGACACACACTCGGGTTCAAATCTCTTGAAAAGCATCAGCTCGTAAAATTTCAGGCACACCTTGTTGTGATGAGTCCTAACTTTGAGAAAAGCCCAAGTCCAGGACTTTCTTTTGATGACCTTCAACTAGTTAACTCATGTCGTCTTCACGACATACGAAGATTTTTTTCTTCTTTACATAAATACCAAGTACATATTCATAGTTGAACTTACAAATTCTTCTGTCTTATAGCCTCTATAATATCCGGTTGCTTTTTTCCCGATTCACTTTAGGTCTTCTTGTATTGAAGAATATTTCTCTTCAAGACATGATTCAAGTTCATTTTATACATACGAATCTGATCCATATGGTAAAATTGTACCTGTACTAAGGGCATTAATAAAAGATTATTTTCCAAATACTAATAATAATACACCATCTATACGTGAATGGTTACCAATTATTATATTCAAAGTTGTTCAATTAGCTACACATTGGCCAAGATTCTTTTTTCAACGTTTACAAACTACTACGGTACGACTTGTACTATTACCAAAAGCTGGCAGTCATCCAGATGATGTATTAACTATTAGTAATGATATTTGTCATATGATTCAAGTAATGGGTGTTGTACAACAACGTAGTCGATTAACGAAACAAACATTATTACGTCGTATTACAGCCGTACAAATAATTATCAATGTGAATGAAATTTGTCCAGAAACAATTAAAACAAATCAATTCACTAAATTAAATTGTATATTTTCAACAAAAAAGACTGCACAATTAAAAGGAGATTATTTTCACTGTGAATTTTGTATAAGATTTCCTCAATCAGAATTAAATAATAATACACCATTCTCATCATCTGTTGAAAATGTCATGATGACACCAGTAGGTACTCGTCAAAATGATCGAATATTTTGTATACATGCACATCCTATTTTAATTGATGATCTCGGTTCATATTGGGATTTAAGTGCAAATGCTGGAGCATCTGATGAAAGTGTACTTGTTCGAGTGGAATCACTTCCTCTTGGTGCTCTATCTACGCATACATTGAATCCTTCAGATCAACAACAACAACATCATCATCAACGTTCGGATAATCAAGAGATGAATGAAAATCTTCAAACGATTGGATCTCATCAACCTACTTCATCAATATTAACAACAGATACATCATCGCATAGTTTTCATCAAAAACCGAATTTTTCCAAGTCTAAAATTATATCACGATCATTAGACGGTTGGAAATCTCCACCGAAAAATCGTTCAAAGAAAATAACTAGTCATTTAAAATCTTCACAATGAAAAAGAAACATTCGAACTAATAGTATGTTTAGACAAAAGTTGTTTTTTTTTAAAAAAAAATACTTCTGATTGTGTAAATATATTTTGGTACTTCTGAAATAAAAGTAAATGATAAGAAAAACCAAGTTATTTTGATTATCAATGAATGTCGACCAACACTATGACCAAGTTCTGATTATTATTTTGTAGTTTATTAACAAGTGAATATAAAATAGTAAGATAAATTAGATTAGATCTAGAAGTTGAATTCTGTTTAACGTAATTCATTTTAATGTTCATGAACATCATCAGTTTCATGTTGTTTCTTCACATATCAGCAGGAGTTTATCTGCAATCATGAAAAGACTTTGTATTTTTAAAAATTCAAATATGTCTCAACTAAGCAAACATATTGATATTAAATGTTTTGAACTTAAACTGGCTCATGATAGAGTTAAATTATTCATACGAACAGGTCATTAGAAGAATGATCACAGTACGTAATCAAATCCTAAGTCGGGTTATGAATAACCTCCGTCCTTATACTGAGTTTAGAGGTATGTATATTTAACAAATCAATGTTTCGAAATCAGTGATTAGATCATATCAGCCTATCATTAACTATAGCACTTGGAACAATAAATGCAGAGCAGTGGCTTAGTGGTTAAGATCTCCTACTTTCAGCATCGAATCCCGCTCCATCTAGTATCACTACCCCTCACAACTAGTGTGTTCTATACTAGATGAATGAGTTCGTTTACTATCATTATTATAAACCAATAAACATTAACGAAGGGTAATAACAAAATCTCACAGAATAAATCTTTCCACCATTCCTGTTTGAAGATTTTTATGATTGAAAATTGGTCAATATCTAAAACAGTAATTCACTAATAAGAATCCTGTTAATCTTCTTTACTTCAGTATATACTATTTTCGTTCATCCCTAAATTCCTACGGATGAAATGTTAAGGTTTGGAACCTAGAATGATCCTAACTCTCATTAGTCCGGAATTTATGCCATTCTTCTGGTTCATGTTTCAGTTCAATAACAAAAGACAACAACAAATCGTGAAGTAATGTGCCTCGTATGAATGAACTGACATAAAGACAAAGATTAATTTCTTGATCGCATATCAAGATCGGTATGAAATTACATTACAGGCATAATTACACTGATAGTTGAAGAGAGCTAAAGAAAAAGTTCAATCATTCGTCATAATTAAGTAATAAAAAAAGTACAGCAGTTGTTAATGAATACACTAAAGTATTGCAACAAGAAGAATATAGAAATATTATAACCTAATTGTTGTGGATGCAGAAGGATAGACCAATAATTATCATGTTAAGTCCAATGGTGTCCTTGGACTTTAAATGCACATTTCCTACTGGCCGATATCTGTCCACTTGTTGAATATGGTACAAAATGTTTTTTTCTATTTTGATGGTACGATGTGGTATGTTTGGTTAGTATATAAATAGAGTATGTCTGAAATACAATGATTCATATCTCAGAGGCTGTGACTTTCGTTCTGGACTCAAATGGCTGGGGTAGACAGGGAATCGGGACCAATCGTAACTCTAGGTCGTCATTACGTTCGTACGTGTTTACCTGTCATTGAATCGATCGATAAATACGCTGTTCTCTAGTTTTTTCAGTCAAGGACACAACAGTTAGCACAGGGTAGAAATCGACCACAACTTAAGGTCACAACACTAATAATGATACAGTTAAAATGTCAGATTATATTCTGTGCAGTAGTTACGAAAGGTATTCTTTCATATTCGTTCCATTGTAACCAAGTTAGAGAATGTAGATTGTACGATTTACTAAATGAGACCATTCATTATTGTTAACTATAAATTAATAATGAGTATTTTCGTATGGAAGTTGGTCTTGATTGTGTTGACTAACAAGAAAGCATGTAGTTATTTTCAAGATTAACACAATAATCTATCATTTTAGTGTTAATTGTGTAAATATCTGATTAGGATTTTACTCGGACTATCAGAATATATATATGATGCCTCTGTACCAATGTTTATGGCTTTAAATAAATCCCTGTTTCTACTTGTATAAAATTCCATATTTTAGTTTCAACAAATACAATCTGTTTTTTAAACGATCCTTTTTTGTATATGCATGAACCATTGATACCATTATACTGGCTATCCAAATCTGTTATAAAATGGCTGTTTGTAATCACAAAAACTGACTCAGAATCAAAATCACCTAGAAAAAAAAAGTAGTTATTTGGAAAAGATTTATACAAAACTTGAAATGCGTGTAGGCGGTCCATACACGGTTATTGTAAGCCTGTTGGATAAAAAGTAGATACCACATATGAGTTATTTTTACACATTTTAGTCCTGCGATAGCACAGATTACCACATACACACACACACAATAAGATTTTATTCTGGTTACAATTACGAACAATACATTTTACAATGACTTTCACATATAGGTGATATCATCAGGTAAATCATTAGGTACGTGATTATTCTTGTTTTAGGCTTTCTAATAGGTGTATAATCCAGAAAATTTCAAACCTCATCAAGATCTTTACTGTACTTCTCAACCCGAGTGATTACTTTTCAGGAAAATTAGTTGAGATCCAGTCATATACGCTCCAAACTTTAGTTGATTCATTTTTTTTTTGATGATGTATTTTTCATCTTTAACGTGATTGAAGTCACGTATTTGCAGCAGAACTCTACATTACTCAAGAGTATAATATATCCAATTCTGGTTGATTCACAATTTTCGCCTAACTAAAATCAGTCCATGATGTGCAGCTGCAAAAAACAATCATTTATATAGCCCCCTATATTAACAATAAAACTAATACTTCAATACATCAATAACTATATGAGACACTGAAGAGGAAGAATGTATTTGTATATACAGTAGACTAGAGAACCATGTACCTATTTATATTCTATAATTTTGTTGTTTGATTATATTTTCCTTGAAAAAGCTTGAACCAGATTGCCAGGTGAAACGTTGGATTTACTTCGAATTCTTTTGTTGAGATTTTACAAATACATTCCTCCTCTGTAATGTCTCACATTAACTTGGAACCCAAATTTTTGTTAAACTATTCGTTCAAATTTAGACAAAAGTTCTTATTTAACCACAACATGAATGTCAGTTTAACCGATTGTCAACTATACTAGTTACTTGAAAATAATGTAAAAACATCTTATTCAATTGACTATAGTCAAGAAAACTGAATGAATTTAAATTCTTAAATTGATAATTATCTAATTCTATTGTGTATATATTTGTGAATACATTCACAATGGTCCATGACTTCACTCGGCTCCATATTTTTATTCCATGTAACTATGGTATATACATATGTTTATCATACTTTATTTGATATTTCTATGGTGAATTTAATGTCAACAAAATATGTCCATGAAAAATATTAAATGACTAATTTCGTGTTGTCACCATTTTGAATTGAGAATATATACCGGTCAGAACGTTTGAATCAGTGCTTCGTCAATATATGTGTAACGAACGAGAGCTTAGGTGAAGACAACCAATTAAAAGAAACCATACACCAAATACTTCCTTTGCTGATTTCCATCATTTTTCCTTCACATTCTGTATGGTTCTTCCAGTTCACAATTCCTTTCTATTTCCGTTTCTATTCTCTCCAAATCCGATTGGCGTTACATACTACTTATGTTGAAAAACATAAGTAGCATACACCACTGCTATATATATATGGACTGATGAATACATAGACGGTTGTCAGAAATTATTTTTAGATTTTTTTTTACTTTTGTCATTTTTCACAACCTATATAAGTGACTACTTACTTTTAATCGGAGCAATGGCATCGTGATGAAGAGACTCAGGTTCTAACAAATGTGTTCGAGATTTCAATTTCCATTCATCTACTTCAATTTCAGTAATCAAGTATTTATCATAGGCTATCACACTTGCAGTGTTACTCAAAGTTGAATACTGTAAAATTGTACTTGATAAATGAATTACTTCTAATGTTCACGCAAAAGTTAATTTAGTGTATTTAATCTAATACTGGTAGAAACGATCATTCTGAAATATAAAGTTATATGTTTCATCAACGCTACAAATCATCTATTAACGTTGACGAAGCAACATTACTATTGTATCTTGTCTGTAGTAGTCAAAATTATTTCATTAATGCCTTTAATGCATTTATTGCATAATCAATAGCTCATGGAAATTCCTATGTTCTTACGCTGTCAATCACAATACCATAAAACCAAATGAGTAGTTACAAATAACTTTTATTTACTTAGATTTTTAACTCATTTGATTATGTTTCCGAAATAAAACATCACAACACTTCATAGTTTACAATTTTCAATAGCTACATAATCAGGACCTTGAATTATGATCTGTAAAAGATGGGACAGTAATTAGCAAGTCAATGATTGTTTAACTAAGATCAATCTGTGATGGAAACTGTGGAAACCTAAATATAATTCAAGGGGTTTTATGGAGATTAGTTTCAATCTGTAGGTTTTGTTTTCGATAAATTAATCTCAGTTGAAGTATTAATTAAAACTAAGGGATAGTGGACAGTTGTTTCATTGTAGTTTTAAAATATTCAGAATTACACACCGATGATACACCGAAGCTAATTCAGGACTTTTATTTCTCATATCAGACACTTAACGGTTGGGACTATTGTTGAGGAGCCTTATGCTTGTACGAAACAGTTCTTTAATGTACTGTAGTGTCTCGACTAAGACAAATACAACCTAACTATTAAAAGAACTTGCAACTAGAAGTGTATAAAATTACTATAAAACAACTGTGTAGTAAAAACTAATTCACTAACGAGTATCTGCCCAAGTTCTGTATTTATTTTTTTCTTTCTGATAAAAACAATAATCTGCATATTATGGTTTCATACTTCTGTATGTGTAGACAGTTTTCCATCAAATAGTCAGTGTTATTCTACGCTTACACTGTTATCAAGCAAAAATGATGAGAAAGTGAAATTATATCGCTAAACCTCTCACATTTTTGACATAGAAAGTTATATGTAGGTGTCATTACCAAGGTTTGATTTGATAATTTCGAATAAATTGAGCATTGGGTTGATTGTTATAAATAAAAATAATA